CCCAGCGGTTACCAGCCGACGTTAGTGGAAGAGGCCCATACAAATCGATGCCAACGCGCCCAAACGGCCTGGCAGGGCAAGGTAGAGGTTGCAGACCTACCGGTGACGGGTGCGTTGAAGTTTTGCGGCGCTGACATTCTATGCAGGAGCGAACGAATTTCTGCACAGAGCGGTACATGCCGCGCCAAAAGTACCGTTGGCGAATGCACTGGTAAGTCTTCGATACCCCGGAGTGCGCACATTGCGGATCAGAATGAAAGAATTCGCATATGTCAGAGCGCAGACGGCGGGGTATGACTAGTAGCCACTGGCGGCCGTCACCGTTGTAATTGCGTCGGTGGAGAAGGTCGTCGCGAACGGTGAAATGGTGGGCTTGACGACGCAACGCGCGAGTGCATGGAGTGGATGGATCAGTCAGCAAGCCTATCAGTGAGGCAATCCATTGATCCTTGCGCTGTTCAGTAGCAACGGCATGAATGCTAATGGAAGAAACGGCAAGGCGAGACGCTGAGTAATGGGCATTGTCGTTAGGCAAGGGAGAGCGTGACAGGGCGTCGGCGTCAGCATGTTGCCTTCCGTTGCGGTACAGCACGCGGATGTCGTAGTCTTGCAGGCGAAGTGCCCACCGGGCGAGACGGCCTGAGTGATCTTTCAATGATGACAACCAGCATAGTGCGTGATGGTCGGTGATTACATCAAATGGGCGACCATACAAATAAGGTCGGAACTTGGTAAGGGCCCAGACGATTGCCAGACATTCTTTCTCAGTGACGGTGTAATTAGTCTCGGCTTTTGTAAGCGTACGGCTTGCATACGCCACGACATATTCCGGGAACCCTGGTTTGCGCTGCGCAAGGACAGCGCCGAGACCGACACCACTGGCGTCCGTGTGTACCTCTGTAGGGGCAGTAGGGTCGTAGTGGCGGAGTATGGGAGGCGACGTCAAAAAACGACGGAGCGTTGTGAATGCGTCGTCACACTGTGATGACCACGAATGGAGAGGTCCGTTACTACTGAGGAGCTTTGTCAGCGGCGATACAATGGACGCGAAGTTTCGGATGAAGCGCCGAAAATAGGAACACAGTCCTATGAAACTGCGCAGTTCCTTGACGAATGTTGGCTTGGGGAACTCGGTCACTGCCCGAAGCTTGGCTGGATCGGGGAGAATTCCGTCCTTCGACACGACGTAGCCGAGTATTGTCAACTGTCGAGCTGCAAATCGGCACTTCTTTAGGTTCAGTTGCAGACTGGCGTCACTCAGACGCGTTAAAACATGCCGCAAGCGTTGAAGATGCGTGGAGAAGTCCGGAGCGAAAACAATGACGTCATCGAGGTAGCACAGGCACGTGTGCCATTTCAGGTCACGCAGAACGGTATCCATCATGCGCTCAAAGGTGGCGGGCGCATTACACAGCCCAAACGGCATGACGTCGAATTCGTACAAGCCGTCGGGAGTGACGAAAGCGGTCTTCGGTCGAGCATCCTCAGCCATAGGTACTTGCCAGTACCCTGAGCGCAAATCTAGAGATGAAAAGAATTCGGCTCCTTGCAGGCTGTCAATCGCGTCATCCACACGCGGTAGTGGGTACACGTCCTTACGAGTGATCATGTTGAGGCGTCGGTAGTCCGCACAGAACCGTCCTTCTTCGCGACGAGAACGACAGGAGACGCCCAGGGGCTGTTAGAAGGTCGAATAACATCGCGGCGTAGCATGTCGTCCACTTGCTCGTTTATAACACGGCGTTCTGTGGGAGATACGCAATATGGACGTTGCCGTAGTGGTGGTTGTGCGCCTGTGTCAATGCGATGCGTAACAGTGGATGTGCGGCCGAGAGAAGGTTGAGTGACATCGAAAGAAGAGCGGAATTCTTCCAACAGGGCCAGAAGCTGGGAGCGCTGGACCGGCGTAAGGTTGTCGGCAATGGAAGGACCGAATACATCAGCGGATGATGAAACAGATGTAAAAACAGCACTAACCCTATTGGAACTTCGGCAGTGCGTGTCATCAGGTTGATCAATGATTTGTGCGTCTTCGATGTGTTCCACGCTGCCGAGACATTCACCAACGTAACACTATACGGGGATGAGTTCAGAACAAAAATAGTGGTGCTGCCGCGAGTGACTTGCACGGTCGCGAAAGGAACCAGCAAACCTTTTCTGGTGAAAACACGATGAGATGGTGAGAAGAGTGCAGCGGTGTCGGAAAGACTTGCGCAGTAGACCGACACCGCCGCGGACGAGTTTCCAGGCACTTGCGTGTCGTCCCTGACAAGTAACTTGCTTGCAGCAGATGGACTGTCGGCCGGCGTCAAAGAAGAGAATGGTGTCAGCTCTATTTCTGCTGGTGCGCAATGAATGACGGCGTCATGGCGGGAGAGAAAATCCCATCCTAGGATGACGTCGTGAGAGCATGAAGGAATTATGATGAATTCGACGGCACACATCACGTCCTGAATCATGAGGCGGGCTGTACACATCGCTGTAGGGTGAATGGTTTGGGCGCTGGCTCTACGGAGGGAGAGCCCGGAAAGTGGCGTGGTCACTTTGCGCAGTAATCGGCTAAGCTTTGCGTCCATGACGGATACGGCGGCTCCAGTATCTGCAAGGGCAGATGCACGAACACCATCCACAAGCACGTCTATCACGTTCGATGGGCTTTCCTGAGGGCTTCCGCAGTTCGACAGCGTCGCAGCCCTTGCCTCGTGGACTGCGACGACTAGTTTTCCTGGTCACCCTCTAGTGAACGTGGCCGCATCGGCGACAGTGAGCGACGTCGCGGAGAATGTGAACGGCGGGTAGATGGAGCGGAACGGGACGACGGTGACGTAGGCGGCGGTTGGTCATAAAAGCGGCTTGATTGGCTGGGATAATTGGAGGCGACCTGCGGTCGCTGCACACGGTTGCAGTAGCGTGCTACGTGACCGACGCAACCACAAGCAAAGCAGATGGGGCGATTGTCCGCAGTGCGCCATCGGTTCGCGGGTCCCATCCATGTCGAAGTACGCGATGGGCGAGCCGGCTGCTGATTAAACTGCATAGTGGGTGGCACACGGGGCACGTGGATGACGTCGGTATATGTAGGCGGCACAGTTTCTTCGAAGGCCTGGGGTCTGGCGATGGTTTCGGTGTAACCAAGGGGGCCAGTCACAGGAATCGGTGGGGGTGGCCTGGCGACAACTTGGGCGTAACTGAGTGGTGTAGATACTGGAGGCGGCTGGTGGTATTCTGGAACGACCTCCGCAATTTCCTGCTGAATGGCTTGGCGTAGAGGAGGCAAAAGTGTGCTTGACGACTGTTCAGCACGTTGCGGGGAAGCAAAGGCCAGTAAAGAGACCTGGCGGGCAACTTCCTCACGCACGAATGACTTTATTTCAGCGAGCAAAGCGGTGTGGTCAGGAAGTGTTGACAAGGCCGAGAGATCAGCGTCACGTGAGGGTGGTCGACGGGTCATCGAGCGCTGCCGTCGCAGCTCCTCGTAACTTTGGCATAGTGTAATGATCTCTGCCACAGTGCGAGGGTTCTTGGCCAGGAGCATGGTGAAGGCATCGTCGGCGATGCCTTTAGAACATGGGTAATTCTGTCGGCCTCTGGCATGCTCGCGTCGACTTTCTTGCACAAGTCAAGGATGTCCTCTATGTAACTTGTGAAGGACTCACCGGTCTGCTGTGCTCGTTCACGTAACCGCTGTTCGGCTTGCAGCTTACGAACGGCAGGACGGCCGAACACGTCGACGACGGTGGTTTTGAAAGCGGACCAAGTGGGGAAATCGGATGCGTGGTTGTTGTACCACATGCTGGCCACACCCGCAAGGTAGAAAACTAGGTTGCCGAGTTTACCTGCCTCGTCCCAATGATTGCGGACGCTGACGCGTTCGTACATAGCGAGCCAGTCCTCGACGTCGGTGTCATCCGCGCCGGTGAAGACAGAAGGGTCGCGGATGCGGGGGACACCGGAACATGGCGTCGGCGCAGGAGGAAGCGTTTGCTGTGCGGCGTCTTGGTGCATGGTAGAAGGCACGGTGCGGGATCGAAGCTCCAGGGGCATCGAATGCTAACCGAAGGTGTTAGAAGGGCACAGCACTCTCCACCAAATTGTTGAGACGTTTACTGGCGGACACTTGTCGACGATGCTTAACAGCGACAGTCAATGCGGGTACCGACTCTCTGCACGAGCTGCTCTTCTTTTTGCTAAAAAAGGGCAACCCACTAGAAGGCGCTCAAGAGGACGACCCACTGTTCGAAGGCTTCGCCACAATATATATATATATATATATATATATATATATATATATATATATATATATATATATATATATATATATATATATATATATATGCCATATCAATCGTAAACACGCGAGTCACGCCTATGCGACGTTGGTTGTACACACACGTTGTCTATTTGTTGGTAACGTGTTCTGTTATGTGTAGTCGGAGGCAGGAAAAAAACCATGCCACGATAACCGACGCGTGGAGGCAGATTTACTCTGCGACTGAAAAAACAGTCAAGCTCATGACGTTCATGGTTCAGGCTCATGCCGTGCAGTGACGGTGGCGCCGCCAACCTCCCAATTTGTGACGACGGTCTAGAGCGCGCGCTCATTGGTGCAAGCTTTTCTGCAACTGCTTTTAAGGTGGATATGTCGCTGCCTTCTGAACTTGCAAGCGCCTACAGATATAAGCGGAGCTCATATCTTGGTTTCCTTAATCATGTGTGCGCATTAACATCTTCAGGGCTGAAGTGACGCTATTTACTGGCATCCTCAACTTCAAAGATGCTTGTAATCTCCAACAGTCTCCTATAGTTTTCTATCTTTTGAAGCTGCTTTGAGCTTGTCTTTTGTGTTTTATTTTTACGCGAAAATAAGTTTCCGATGCCAATAAACGCCTGAACCACTGCTAGCGGCCATATGATATATATATATATATATATATATAATCTTCCGCATGCTGCACCTTGCTATACTGAACGCGCCTTCCCCATTTTGTGTGTCTTTGCAGTCTGGCCTGCCAATTGCCCGTCGTGCCCGCCTTCCTACCTTCTATCCTTTCTCGGCCCCTGGAAGGACCCCGCGTCTACCCAGGAACTCCCGCTGTACGTTGTAAACCCCCTGGTTAACCCTAAGCTCCCGGCCGACGTGACCCGAGACAGGCGCCTCCAAGATGGCAGCGTTCGTAGCAAAGCAGATGATGGGCAGCAAGCTCAATGCCGTCAAAGGTCAGTGCCTCTCGTTTATGCACTCACTTGTTGTTGACTGTACTGGTCCCAGTGATGTCCTGGCCTTGCTTTCGTCACTGGGATCAGACGCTCCGAAAAAGGAAGTAACAGAGAGAGAGGAGGGAGAAAGAGAGAAGGCGGAGAGTTTAACCAAAACGAAAGTATATCTGTCTGGTTCACTAATCTATGCAGGGAGGAAAAAAAAGGAAAATAAAAAACCCAGTACATGCACCTAAGACGACTCGATGGAGAAAAACATGTTTTTTTTGCTTCTCTGTGGATGTATGAGGGAGCAAGGAACACGAGCTGTGGCTTTAGGTGCCATTGCTGCAGGCGCAGTCTTCATTTTCTACTCCTGTGTTCACGTGGTCTCCGGTTTCGTTGACCGCCTAAAAGAGGACGCTACAACGGGATATTGTAGAGTTACGTCTCATGACGTCATTCCAGAACTTCCAACACCATGATGACGTCACGATTTCCGTGATTTCTGACTTAATCGTTCGACGATTATTTTCTGCATCGCCCGTCTCCGACGCCGGCCAAATTTCCCATTTGATGAAGAAGTGGGGCCTTGCACCTGAAAAGGAGAGAGAAAGAGAGGAGGCAGATATAGATGAACGGTGAACGTGAGCTCGTGCGTGTGTGGTATCATGCTTTACAAAGGCACTCGCACGAGCCTGTAGTTGTTTTCAGTCTGCACAAAAAACACATTCTGAGTCGATGGTCGCGGTCCCGTGCAGTTGTCAATGAGCAGTCCCTGGACGATTATTCAGTAACATGGTACCAGCCCTGGCGAAAAGAACTGTTAAGGCGTCTCGCCTGAAAACTCACCCGCTAACTCTTCGTAATTTGTGGTAGAAAAATTATCTGATCTGACAATTTCATGTCTGCAAAGAGCCGCTCCACCAAGTGCTGACATCCACGAGCATTCGAAAAATACGTTGCTCCTATGAACAACAATTTATCTACTAAGTATCTCCTCAATAACCACAAAATATTTAAGCAATCATGTTTTCATCTACAGTCATTTTAAGGAATGTGCCTTTGCCATTCTTTCAAGTTTTTTTATGGAAAACCTAAACTTTTTCGTGGGTAATACTTCGAGAAAACAATGCTATTAAGTCGATTTTACCCACAAAAGCCGTTTATGCCGGCAGTAAAAAACTTTCGTATTCAGAGAGAGAGAGAGAGAATGGTTATGTGAAAGGTACAATTGTTTAAGTGAAAAACGATGGTTGATTTGCTACCCTGCACTGGAGAAGAGGTAAGGGGAATAGGAAGGTGGGGAAGGAAAGGAACTAATGTAAAAAAATGTATTTCAAAAACTATCGAAAAATAGAAAAAGAAAAAAAAAAAACAGAATAAACCCATGCCATGAATTTACCAGAGATTTTACTAATGTTGTTACCCCCCCTACACACACACTCCAGCACAGCTGTGCATCATGGGTGAACCGAAAACTCTGCTTGGTGAAGTGAAGCTCGCGGAACTTGTGCAAGAAACAGGAAAAGAAAGAGAAAATAAAGAGAATAAGAGAGAGATGGAAAGAAGGCGATAGAAAAAAGAAAGCTAATAAGATAAAAAAGAGAATAAAACAAAATAACGTAGAAAGACGCAGAAAACAAGAGAAAACCCGAGAGAAGCAGAAGTGGATAAAACAGAGCGCAAAAAGGGAAAAGAAAAAAAATAAAAACAAACAAAGAGAAAGCGAGAGAGAAAGAAATGGAAGAAAAATAAGGGTAAGAAGAGTGAGAAAAAAAAGGAATAGTAGTGAGAGAAAGAAAGAAATAAAGCACAACAGATACAAAAACAGAGAAAACGCGAGAGGAAAGTCTGAAAAAAAAAAGAAATGAAGAAATCCAGCCAATTCAGTTCTTTCTTGAGGCTTGTAATCGCGGTTGCGAGGCTACCATAATTTCGTTTTTTTCGCTGTCAGCAACCTCCCCTACTAAAGTGATTTAAGGAGGGCCTTTTATAATCAACGCAGCTATCTAAACAGAATAAAGTACCACTGTTGCTAAATACACGAGGGAGGTCAGCGTGGCGACTTCTGGCCGATATCACCTCCTCACAGTTTTTATGAAGGACAGTCTGGTCTAGCAACAAATATTTTTTATCATAAATTGTTTGTGTAGAAGAGGTTAACCGCGCAGGCAGCCCCCGCTGCACCAATTTTATGCAAACGTTAGGTAGCAAAGTTTCGCCGCCATGAAACAAAAATAAAACAGACAATTCATACATAAACGGTACTCAGCAAATTATGTAGGTCGTTCTTCTTAAATCAAGCAGAATTTCTTTTAGATGGAGCTCAATATATCCTTTGCGTAACCAAAATCAATGGCGAGGTTTGGAATGCCAGCATCTGGGAGGATAATAGTCTTTGTAATAAGCCAGTCTATCATTCCCTACGCTTTTCTTCTGTCTGCAGCTCATCTATTTAAGAGATAGCTCAGTCGATCTCACGTGCTTCTCTTTTGTTATTTTCATTATGCGTTTGCTAAAGTCCGAATTTCAAGGTGCTGATGATGAAATCAGGACAGTAACACTGTAGGAAGTTCTGGCAGAAGTGGCGGCTTAAAGCTTCACTGTGTAAGAACGAAAGCAAGTTCGTGAACAAATTCTTGGACCTATACGCAAACAGTATGGTATCAATGATGAAGAGCGATAGTTAGACGCCACCCCTGAAACGATTCTGTCTTTCAGTGACACACTTTATACCTTGAAGTGTGAAGTTCGTCAAACCTTTTTTTGTTTGTTTTCGTAATTTGTCATCCGGTATCTCCTTGCCTTCCTGTCTCCCCTTACCTCTTCCCTAAATTTACTATATATCTTCAGGTTTACCTACCCACCTTCCGAGTTTTCTTCACTTTTTTGGGACGTTAAACCCCATATATCAATCAATTTTCTTCACTTCTCTATATTCCTCTATTTGTTGCTAAGAAAGCCTTGAAGGAAAATAAGTTATCACATTTGAAGCAGCAGTCCTTGAACTCACCTTTCGGGAAAAATATGCAGGAAGACAGCGACTTGTTCAGCGACGTGCGATTTTCTTAAACCCCGAATAACAGGCTGTTTCACAAAACCTGTATGTTCGACACTTCGCCATGTATTTTGTACATTGCGCAATCTGTGTATTCACACAAGGCAGACCATTACACAGATCGTCATATCGATATGAGATTTGCAATCTACTTACCATTTTCTTCCACTCTACAATTAAATGTCTTCAAGAATATTTCTACAGATTGTAGCGGTGAATATTCGTCCCCAAAGCACGGGAGCGCAATTTAACTACGCTAAGTATCCGTTGTTTCAGATAACAGCGCTCCCTTGGTGTATGAAGTGGTACCTTAAGGCCCCTAAACAGCCTCTTAAAAATACCAGAAACGAGTGCGTTATTTTCTCTTAGTGTTACTCTTCTTTGCGGCACGATGCATGACGCCAGCAGTTTGCAAACGTGCCGTCGGTATGAAATAAGTGCTCCATTGGTCAAGATGGAGAGATATCAGTTGGTAATTATCTCTCACCCTGCTTTGCCATGTAGTCGCGTGCCTGTTCTGCCTTGTCTCGCATGACTTTCGAGCGCGATCAACTCATTTCACTTCGTTTTCTACCTTTTCGACTGTGCTAGCGGGGATATCACGAAAAGCGCGAAATCCTGAATGACTCAATGCTCGGCGCTGTTTTATGAAGAAATGAGAGGCGAGAAAAAAGGAGCGCTTGCACGAAGCGCAGTGAAGCTGGGAAAGAAAGTGCTTCACTTCACTTTCACTTTTATTTCCTTAAAGGTACCCTCAAATGGGACATTACATAATGGGCGGGATAATGGGCGGGTTGATAATTGTAGTTACATATGTACATAATAACATGTTCATATTTATACATACATAACAATTATACACAAAGAATAATATATACATTCATAACATATGCACAATAACCACATATGCATATAACTAGTATTCACATATACTTGTAAGAATAAATTAGTGTTTAAGCTTTCCATCGAATGATGATGGGCAGGTGATATCAGTGATAAAACTGGGCAGGCCGTTCCGCTCAGTTGATGAACGGAAGGATGCTGAGAAGGTTGCAGTGTGTCGTAGTAGTGTTGTCTCTCCTTAGTAAAGCTGTCTGTAGTAGTAGTAGTAGTAGTAGCAGTAGTAGTAGTAGTAGTAGTAGTAGTAGTATTAATGCTGCATCTCCTTTAAACTCCAAGTGGTTTAGATGCACTTTAAAAGGTGGCGTAGCCTATAGGCTGCACAGTTGAGGTCTTGATCTCGATCAGGCATTACTCATTCGCTCTTGCCGAATAGAAGTTACTGCGTGGTTCAAAGAAATTTCGACACTCGTGACACTGGTCGTTTAGTGCACCTCGGCAAAAGCTTATTGCATGGCCGCACGCCATCGCAACCACAGCTTTTATTCGACTGTCGCCAGCGAACTTATTATTTAGGACGCTTCGCGACAACATGCCACAACAGCTAATGCACTATGCGATTCATTCCCCTCGCGAACGTTCGAAGCGATACTATCGTGCACCCACAAAGGTTGAACGCATCGGGAGATATACTGTTGATTCAGGTTCGAAACAGTCACCGAAGTAGGCAGTTGGTGAGCCTCTAAAGCAAGGACAGGCGAACCGCGTGTTGCATGTGGCCCGCTGACCTCTCGCTTGCGACCTGCGGCTCAGACATTGAAGTCGTCGTTTTATTTTTTTTTCATGACATTGTGACTGACTGTGACACTGCTAAAATGGTCCGCACATTCTTTTTTTGACTCTCGCTCACTGGATTTCGTGTCGACTGGTTGTGCCCCCGCGATCTCCGACGACAGCGCCGATCTGGCCGACTGGCTCGCCTTATACGCCATCTCCTGACGCCGACAAGAGCTTTCGCTGAGTGGTGCCTCGTTCTCGGACTTCTGCGACCGTGTTCATCTTTCCTATCTTCGCCTTACTTCCGTATGTGGCTGTCCCTGCGCCTCTCTTCCTCCCTCCG